GATACTGCTTCTATAAACATTGGGGTACATGTGCCCCTTCGAATAGTATTTTTGTATCGTTTGGGTAAGTTCCTAGTACTGCAATTGCTGGGTCAGAGGGTGGTTCTCTATTTTAATTTTTTGAGGAACCTCCATACTGTTTTCCAGAGTTGCTGCACCAGTTTGCATTCCCACACAGCAGTGTAAGAAGGTTCCCCTTTCTCCGTATCCTCGCCAACATCTGTTGTTTCCTATGTTGTTATTGTAGCCATTCTGACAGGTGTGAGGTGGTATCTCATTGCGGTTTTGATTTGTATTTCTCTGATGATGAGGAGTGATGTGTCTGTTAGCCATATGGATGTTTTCTTTGGAAAAAATGTCTGTTTATGTTTTCTGCCCAGTTGTTAACTGGATTATTTGTTTTTGGGTGTTGAGTTCAATAAGTTCTTTATAGATTTTGGATACTAACCCATTATCTGATATGTCATTTGCAAATATCTTCTCCCACTCCAAAGATTGTCTTTTAGTTTTGTTGATTGTTTCCTTCACTGTGCAGAAGCCTTTTATCTTGAAGTCCCAGTAGTTCATTTTTGCTTTTTGTTTCCCTTGCCTCTGGTGACATGTCCAGTAAGAAGTTGCTATGGCCAATGTCAAAGAGGTTACTGCCTGTGTTCTCCTCTAGAATTTTGATGGTTTCCTGTCTCATATTTAGGTCTCTCATTCATTTTGAATTTATTTGTGTGTATAAGGGGTCCAGTTCCATTCCTTTGCATGTGGCTGTCCAGTTTTCCCACCACCATTTGTTGAAGAGACTGTCTTTTTTCCATACTTCATCATAATTAAGAACTTTTATGTATCAAAAGATAGTATCAGAGTCAAAAGACAATCTACTCAATAGAAAAGATTTGTAAATCAAATATCTGATAAATTAATGTTTAGAATATATAAAGAACTTCAAAAACTTGACAACTGAAAAAAAACCCAATTCAGAAATGGGCAAAGGATTTGAATAGACATTTCTTTAAAGAAGATATGCAAATGGCCAATAAGCCCTTGAAAAGATGTTCAACATCATTAGTCATTAGAGAAATGCAAATCAAAAACCACAGTGAGATACCTCTTCACAGCTACTAGGATGGTAATATAAATAATATATGTTGAAGTCTTAACCCCCAGTGTGATTATATTTGGAGCTAGTACAGCCTTTAAGGAGACCCATTAAAGTTCAAGGAAGTCATAAAGATGGGCCCTAATTTAATAGGACTGGTGTCTTTATAAGAAGAGGAAGAGACACGAGGGATATCTTTCTTTATATATGTAGAGGAAAAGCCATGTGAAGACACATTGAGAAGGTGGCTCTCTGTAAGCCAGGAAAAGAAGCCTCACCAGAAACCAGTGCTGCTGGCACTTTGATCTTGGACTTTGTAGGAGTGCTGACAATTCTGACTCCATCTTTTGCCTTCCATCTTGTTCTTGTCTGCACAATGACCTTCCACAGGGCTACATGTTCCAGGCCTATTGGAGGATACTGTGTGCTCTAGCTGGAATGAGGGAAGGTATATAGATTGTGCCACTTTAGACAACTAGTAGAGATCCCTCTGGCACAGAGATGGTGCTACTTTAGATAACTACCCTTTGACCTCACCACAATGATCCCCCTGCTCTGTAAATTCTGTAGATTAAGGTCTGGACTTTTTGGAAAATAGCTGCGTAGTGCTGAGATCATCTGTCTACCCCATCCCCCTGGCAGTAAGTTGCCCTAAATAAAAAACTAAATAGTATGGAGTAGCTTGCTTTGTGTCTCAAAGTGCCTTCTCAGTCTAGAGGATAGTTTACTGTCCCTCCTCTACCTTCTAATAGACTTCTGGCCTCCAGAACTGTGAGAACATAAATTTCTGTTGTTTAAGCCACCCAGTCTGTGGTATCTTGTTATGGCAGCCTGAGCTGTCTAATGTGTATAATTTTTTTAAAAACTGAAAATATGGGGCACCTGGGTGGCTCAGTTGGTTAAGCACCCGACTCTTTGATTTCGGCTCAGGTCTTGATTTCAGGTCATGAGTTTAAGCCCCACACTGGGCTCCATGCCCAGCATAGAGCCTACTTAAATACATACATACATACATACATACATATATACCTGAAAATAAATGTTTGTGAGGATGAGGAGAAATTGGAATCTCTGAGCATTGTTTGTGGAAATATAAAATGCCACAGCCACTGGAAAACAGTTCATCATTTTCTCAAAAGGATAAAACATACAATTACCATATGTTCCAGCTATTACACTCCTAGGTATATATCCAGAAGAATTGAAAACAGGGAGTTGAACAAACATTTTTATGTCCATGTTTATAGAAGTATTATTCATAACAGCCAAAAGACGAAAACCACCCAAGTCCATTAACAGATTACTGCATAAACACAATATGGTATATACATTCAGCCGTATAAAAGAATGAAAGTTTAATTTATGCAAAAACCACATAGACAGACCTTGGGAACATGCTTGGTGAAATAAGTCAGACTCAGAAGGGTAAATATAATATGATCCCACTTGTATGTGAGGTACCCTGAATAGTCAAATTGAAAGAGACAAAGTAGAATAGAGATTATTGGGAGCTGAAGGGAGGAGGAAAGGGCTAATTATTGTTTAATAGAGTTTTTGTTAGGGATGATAAAGAAGTTTTAGGTATAGATAGTGGTGATGGTTATATAACATTGTGAATATTTAATGCTGGTGAATAGTAAGCATGCTTAAGAATGATTAAAATTAAATATCGTGTATATTTTACCATACACGCAGACATGCATACACAAACTCCTAAAAAAAAATCACCACTGATTTCATTAGAAAAGTCTTTAAATATTAGTGGAAAGTATCAGGCTCATGGCGACAAATACAAGGTTTCAAAAATTCTGATATTTGCATGAAAGCTCAGTTTTCCTTGACATTACAGGTTCATTTTGTTCATTTTCAAGGAAATGTCTGACACAAAATGAAGTCTGAATAACCATAATTTGTTTGTTGTTTTCTAATTAAAAATGGTGTTCCATGAAAAAATCAACTAGGTCAGCTCACAACTTTATCACACAAGTGCTTTGGCTTAAGACAACTCTCTTGGGGCGCCTGGGTGGCTCAGTCAGTTGAGCGTCTGCCTTCGGCTTGGGTCATGATCCCAGGGTCCTGGGATCGAGCCGCGTCAAGTTCCCTGCTCAGTGGGGGGCCTGCTTCTCCCTCTCCCTCTGCTGCTCCCTCTGCTTGTGCTCTCTCTCTCTCTCAGATAAACAGAATAAAATAGACAACTGTCTCAGTTCGAGCTGCTCTAACACATATGCCGTGGACTGGGTAGCTTAAATAACAAGTTTATTTCTCACAGTTCCAGGATGAAGGTGCCAACAGATCTGGTATCTGGTGAGGGCCTGCTTTGCAGATGGCTATCTTCTTGTATCCTCACATGGCAAATAGCAGAAACGAAAGCAAGCTATCCCATGTTTCTTTTTATAAGGGCACTTACCCCACTCATCAGAACTCTACCCTCATGACTTAATTACCACCTAATACCATCATATTAGGGGCTAGGAATTCAAGGAACATTCAGTCAATAAAAATAGCCATTGTACTTTGATAATGCTGCAGAAGTGCTTTATGCTTTCATCTCATTTTTTTTTTAAAGATTTATTTATTAGAGAGAGAGTGGAAGGTGGTGGTAGGTAGGGGAGAGCAAAGGGAATGGGACAAGCAGACTCTGAGCTGAGCATGGAGCCTGACTTGGGGCTCGATCCCAGGACCCCGAGACCATAACCCAAGCTGAAACCAAGAGTCGGACGCTTAACCAACTGAACCACCTAGGCGCCCCCATTTTTTTCTAATTGTGATAAAAAAAACACAAAAAAAATTACCATTTTAACCATTTTTAAGTGTACAGTTCAGGAGTGTTAAGTATATTCACATTGTTGTGAAACATTTCCAGAACTTGCTCATTTTGCAAAACTAAAGCTTTTGTTCCATTTTGTCACACACAATAAGACAGGTACTCAAGGCTTGAGATTTCATAAAGTTAATTTTTTTTGCTCCATCAAGGACCTCTTAAGTTGAAACTGGTATTTTTAAAATCTTGCACATGCATTGCAGTGAATAATACAATCACTAGTATGTAAAGTTTGGTGCCACTGCCTCAATTATCATCAGCAGTTTTATACACCATTGCTTTAGTACTATCAGTACAAATGTGGACACAGTGAAACGAGCAAATAATACCTTAGTGTTTTTGCAAAAATGGTCTTGAGTTGCAAACTTTCTGAAGAGTTCTTGGGAACTCCTCCACGCATCGTCGCAGACCACACATTGAAAACCACTGATTTAGATCAGTGGCTTAGGAAGATCACTTTGAAAAACAAAAACAAAACGAAACACAAGAAGATCACTTTGGTGGTAGGATAGAGGAGGGAGACTGGAAAAACAAGGAGACCACTTAGTTTGAGTGAAAGAGGAAGAAAGCCTATATTTGAATAATGGAGTGCAGACAAAAAGGAGAAGACCGATTTCAGAGATTTTTCAGAAGTGGAATTGATGTACAGAATTGCAAGTATATGTCTTTGGACTCATGAAATTATTGCCTTTGTGCCAGATTTTATTTCTCATTTCCATTTATCCAATTTACATCATTTACTTAATTACTCATGAAAATTAAAAATTTCTCCAGTACCATAAGAAACTAAACTAATAATGATCTGGAAGAGGAATAAGCTAGCTATTCAATTACTTACTGCTTCTACTTACTGCTTTAGTTTGGGAATTTATAACCATATTCTTTATCATCTTCTGAATATACCTGTGTGTTAAACATAAATAGCAATTCATATATAGTTCTTTACGTCATTAGTTTAGTTTTAGGGACTAATGTCTTTTCCAGTGTTCAGACTCAATAACAAACAAATAGCACAAATTGTTTAAACACTTGGTTTAAACACTTGGTTCTTGATATTTCAGTTTGAAGACTTTTTTCCCCCTCCTCAAACAGCAGTTCAAATGCTTCACCTTCAGAAGGTGCACCACTAGTAGGAAGTTATGGATGTACTCCTCATTCATTTCCAAAGTTCCAGCACCCTTCTCATGAACTTTTGAAGGAAAATGGCTTTACCCAACAAGTGTACCACAAGTATCGTCGAAGATGTCTAAGTGGTAAGATGCTTGTCCTTTATGTAGCTATGTTTAAAACTAAAATATAGTATTAAAAAATGTGACATTTATATCAGGTTGAGATATTTTTTATTTTGTTATAATTACCTTAAGTATTCATGTGTTTTGTAGCTTAGATACATTAAGAAATAAAGTTTAGCATATTCTTGTTACTGTTGACGAATGCTTAAATTTGAGCAATGAGTCAGAAAATGGATTAATATTTGTCCCTTATTTAGAAGAAACCCAAATACATTTTGGAGATTAATATTTTAAGTTACGTAAAATGTCTGCTGTTTTGACTTTAATAAGTTTCTTTAACAAAAAAATGTTTTATTAACTTTTTCCAGAGAGAAAACGCTTGGGAATTGGCCAGTCCCAAGAAATGAATACCCTCTTTCGTTTCTGGTCCTTTTTCCTCAGAGATCACTTCAATAAAAAAATGTATGAGGAATTTAGACAACTTGCTTGGGAAGATGCAAAAGAAAATTACAGGTCAAATATTTTCTCACATTTTTACAGTTCAGGGGTTTTCAAAAAAATAATATAAAAACTAGTACTGAGGGCGCCTGGGTGGCTCAGTTGGTTAAGCGACTGCCTTCGGCTCAGGTCATGGTCCTGGAGTCCCGGGATCGAGTCCCACATCGGGCTCCCTGCTCAGCGGGGAGTCTGCTTCTCCCTCTGACCCTCTTCCCTCTCGTGCTCTCTATCTCTCATTCTCTCTCTCTCAAATGAATAAATAAATAAAATCTCTAAAAAAAAAAAAAAAAAAAAACTAGTACTGAAGTAGCCCAGTTTTGAACTATGAAAGTAGCACAACATAACTGGAGAGAGGGTTGTATTAGTTTCCTATTGCTGCATTGCAGATTATCCCAAACTCAGAAGATTAAACAACAAACATTTATTAATTTACAGTTTCTAAGGGTCAAGACCCTAGGAACAGCTTAGCTGGGTGGTTCTGACTTAGATATCTCATGTGCAGGCAAGATATTTGACTAGGCTGCAGTCCCTGAAGACTCGACTCAGGCTGGAGTATTCTCTTCAAGCTTATCCACATGGCTGTTGGCAGGAAGCTTTAGTTCTTCACCACATAAGCCTCCCATTAGGCATTTAACAACATGACTTCATCCAGAGGAAATGATCTAAGAAAGATGGAGAACTTCCAAGATGGAAACCTTGGTGTCATGTATAACCTGTGCTTGAAAGTAACATACCATCACCTCTGCCATGTTATATTGTTCACACAGACCAACCCTCGTACCATACCTGGTAGGAGGAGACTACCCAAGATTGTGAATACCAGGAGGTAGGATCATTTGGAGTCATCTTAGGGGCTGGCACAAAGGCCAAATGAAATTTGAAAGAACCACTAGAGACTTCCCTTGCATAGGCATACACATCCCCAAATTGATAAATACTTAGAGCTAAACTAGTTGTTAAGATACCTTGAGCCAAGAAAAAATAAAGCCTCTCATGATATGTCCAGACTCATCTATCAGATCTCATTTTTTTCCTACTAGCGCTCTAGTTCTCTAGGCAACAGTGGTACAGAACGTGTTCTCTGAATGACACAAGCTCTAGCCTCTACGTGTCTATATATATTCTCTTCTTCCTCCCTCTTCTTTGCTAACTCATTCTTTTCAACCAGGTTAGACCCTGTTTTCTTGAGAAATGTTCAGGATAAGTTTTTTTTTTTTTTTTAAGATTTTATTTATTTATTTGAGAGAGAGAGAAAGTACATGAGAGGGGGGAGGGTCAGAGGGAGAAGCAGAGTACCTGCCGAGCAGGGAGCCCAATGCGGGACTCGATCCAGGGACTCCAGGATCATGACCTGAGCCGAAGGCAGTCGCTTAACCAACTGAGCCACCCAGGCGCCCCTGGGTAAGTTTTGAGAGTGTCTATAGGGTGGAGTTGAGACCAGACTAAAAGGGTGAGAAGGAACATGAGATAGGCTCATGCAAACTGTTTATTCCTGGAAAATGGTAGGAGGAAGAAGAGATGGAAAGAAGAAATAAAGACAATTTTACACTTACTGTTTACTCAAATTTACCATTCTTCAAGTTCTACTTGTAAATCTTAAATAAGAATATATTGTTAATCAGTTATCATGATCTTTGAAAGGAATACAAGATGCTGCAAATAAATTTTTCCTAGAAAAAAATTACATTTGCCCTGACTTGTATAAAAATAAAAACTATTTAATTTTCATCCAGAATCTTTATCTTGATCAGGAATGACAGATACATAGTATGTTTACCTATTTCTCTCTCTTCTGTTATTACTGACATCTCTAATCAGTCCCAGCACTGTTTAATGTTGTTCTTGAATTCAGATTTGTAGTCTTATCAAAATTTTAACAGCTACTGCCAGTTTACCAGAATTGGCACAAAAGGCAAAATTTGCTATTTCTGATTTTGATGTTCTCATTCAAACTCTGGTGTGCTACCCATTAGTGGATTGTGAAGTCAATATAGTAATTTGAAAAATATCAGACTGTACTGAACATAGTAAGGCTAAATTTTTTCAGTTAATACATACATGCAAATTTAAGAATTGTTTGCAAAACTTATATATGCTTTTATGTACACACATTACGTTGACTTGGTCACCAGATAAAGTATTTTTTCTTACTATTGTACTTAGAAAAGTTTGAAAGCCATTTTTATAATTAATCTCAGCATATTTTGCTCTTTCTGCAAACAGTTTGTTTGTTCTTCAGGACTTTCGAATAACTTTTCTGAAATGCCCATGACTATCCCAAGGCTAGGTTGGGAGTTCTTCTGTGTTCCTACAGTCGTCTGTGTATGTTTCTATTAGCTTTTTTTTTCTTTTTTTTTAAAGATTTTATTTATTTGACAGAGACAGCGAGAGAGGGAACACAAGCAGGGGGAGTGGGAGAGGGAGAAGCAGACTTCCCGCTCAGCAGGGAGCCCGATGCTGGGCTTGATCCCAGGACCCCGGGATCATGACCTGAGCCAAAGGCAGATGCCTAATGACTGAGCCACCCAGGCGCCCCTCTGGTAGCTTTTTAACACATTATTTTGGGTCTGTTTTTGCAGTGTTCATGACTAGCCTGGATTAGCTTTCCTTAGGAAGTATCGCACAGTGGTTAAGCATCTGAAGGCTTTGAAATCAGACCTAAATTTGAATCCCAGCCTATTAATTACTGTGAACTTGGCAAGTTATTATTCCCAGTAAGCTTTAGGTTCTTTATATATAAAGTAGGGGAAATTATGGTAGATACCCTCATAGGGTTATTGTGAAAATTAAACAAAACAGAACACGTAAAGGTCTTAACATATGATACACAGTAAGTGCTCAATAAATTGTTACTGTTATTAGACGATCAATACTAAATCTATCCATTGACTAAAGATGGTTTCAAGAAGGAAGGAGAGAAATAACCTTTACATTATGTGTCTTCAACATGCCAGCTCTGGTCTAAGTGCCTTACAATATTATGTCATCTATTCTTAAAAAGTAGGATATTGTTATCCCCATTTTTAGGATATAATTACAGGCCTAAAATTCAAATATAGTTCTTTCTGCTTCTCAGCCTTTATGTTTTCCACTCATCTAAGCTGTCTCATAATGAGGGGTAAATGAATAAATAACAACTGAGAGGCCGGCCATTTGCCCCTGCTCTTCACTCCAGCACTTAGGCTGCATAGTTGGGTTGTTATTAATGTCGTCCTTTTGGTCTTTGGATTTGGTTTACTAAAAAATAAGACTAAAAATCCAAATATTGCAGTAGTCTATTGGCCTTTACCAATATAAACTAATATATAACTAATATCAAAATAATATCCCATGAAAGAAGTATCAAGGCAGATTGGTCACTTCTGAGGTGGTGGTTCTTTAGTCCTTAGTCCCCTTAGCCTTCAGTCATACAAGCTCAAAGAGTAGCATCACTTATGGCTACCAAAGCAAAGAGTTCAGGTCAGTGTGTGGGTGTGTAGTTGGTAGTCCCACATTTCTCTTGATGGCTTGCCAAGAAACCTATTTATTCTTCTGGACAGACCATCACTTTCCATCTTGAAAATAAGCTGGTTACAAAAGACACACACACGCACACACACCCCTTCTTGTGAATAAAAGCTAGGCAAAATTATGTTACTAGTAATGAAGAAATTGTAGTCTTTATTCCACTAAGGCACTCAGAACAACTTAAGGATTCTAACTGAGGAATCTTTTAACTGTGACATGTTTTAGTTCAGTAAGCTAGACATAGTCCTTTTACTGCTGTCTTGTTGACTTTGTTCATTCTCATGGGTTCTACTCATCACCATTAATTAAAGGTTGAGCCCATGTAGTTTGCTAATCCACTGTCCAAAATTTGTCTTGGGTTCTCTACGTAGTTATAGAAGAATACAAGGAAATTTGTTTTCTGATTTATGTAGTGATTACAATTATTTTAGCAAAATATCTTTTATGAAATGTACTTTATAACTAAAGCAGGGAAGATCTCTTAGGAGCCATTTAATTAAGTTTGTCATTTCTAGTTGAATGGGTCAACCACACATAGAGTCTAGGGCACAAAAGTATAGTCTTTCTTTCTCTTGAGTAAAGATTGTGTTCAAAAGTATTTAAAACCATGCACTATTATAAACCTCAGTTTGGAAAAAATTGAAAACATTCCCAGTGGCACTAAATCTTTTGACAGTTTCTTCAGAAATACCAAGGAGACATCCTCTATCTGTCCAAAGGAGCCACACTGTAGTTGCCCATAGGCTGCCTCATTCTGCAGGTTCCCGGTATACTTCCATGAGGTGCTATGGCTGAGTGAACAAAAATAGCAAAGCCATCTATGGATTACTAAATAACCACTTCAGCTAAAAAAACCTGCATCCTAAAAATTACATACATTTAAGCCTTTATTTTTTTTTGCTTGGGGTTATTTGTGTCCTGTTTGCTTCTATCTATGAGATGTTTGCATTGTCATAGTAAAATTTTTATTATAAACCTTTTATTTCCTTTCTACAGGTATGGATTAGAATGTCTGTTCAGGTTTTATAGTTATGGACTGGAAAAAAAATTCAGACAAGAAATTTTTAAGGATTTCCAAGAAGAAACCAAAAAAGACTACGAATCTGGTAAAACAAGACAAAACGAAACCCAATAATCTTACTCTATTTGGAAATTGTAAACCTGAGTCAATAAACAGGGAAGAGTTCATAACTGTTTTCTTCAGAATAGGCTATTTAAGACCTTCAGGCCACTATTACGGTTCTTGATGAAGGATGGGGCACCATATAGTAAGAAGGTCATCTCTGTGAGGTGTTGGAAAATAACCATGCCCAAGAGTTTCCTTTATGGAGTAGTATTTTGCCATTTTTCCCTTGACAGACATGAAGATGATACTCACTGATATTCCATTACATGAAAATTCTTTGTAACAGCAGGTATGCTTGGAAAGATGGAATAGCACAGTGGGTAACAGTGCAAGCTTTGGGCTAGATCCATACATAGATCTGAATCCCATTTTCACCACTTGGTAGCTGTGTGACCTTGGTTAAGTTACATAACTTTGTTAGCCTTAGTTTACTTATCAGTAATATACACAAGAGCACCCATATTACAGGTTTGTATATGGTTCAAATTAGTTTAATATATAAAAACCACTTAATACCTGTCATATAACAAATGCTTACTAAATGTTAGCTGCCATTATTATTACAATGTCTTCTTCTCAAAATCTAGATAAAGTATATGCTGGAAGATAAATGGTCAGTTGCTGGTAGGATGATGTTTAATATGAATCATTTTTTAAATTCTATATAATTGTGAATATTTTTCTTTGTTATTAGGTCAGCTATATGGATTAGAAAAGTTTTGGGCTTATCTAAAATATTCTCAATCTAAGACGCAGTCTATTGACCCAAAACTTCAGGAATACCTCTGTAGCTTTAAGAGGTTAGAAGACTTCCGCATTGATGTAAGTTTTAAGTCTTTTCTTCTGTAGTCTTTTTATTACCTTCATATTTTGAGCTTTCAGTGACTTTCTTAACTTCCATTTTACAATTTTTATTTTTTTAACTTTTTATTTTGAAATGGTAATTTTCTAGTTTTGAAATCAAACTTTAAAACAGGTGCAAAAATAGTATAAAGAATTCCCATATTCCCAAATGTTAACATCTTATGTAACCACACTGCAATTGTCAGTTCACTTTAATTTTGGTATGCCCCTATAATTAAACATTTTATAGATTTAGTAACTTTTATGTAGGTATGTTACTAATTTCTCACTAACAGTTCTAAAATTTTTCACTTTCTATGTACTTTTATTCTATACTTTTCATAATATGTGCTGATATAACATGAATTTAAGTTTCCCCACATAATAAAATTAAGACAAGAATGTTATGTACATATATAGAGACAGGAGAGTAAGCCTTAATTTGATTTCAAGAGGAAAAGGAAAGCATTAAAAAAAGAATGGGATGAAAATAAGATAAAGGACAGGGGGAAAAAAATAAGAAGAATCAAAAGAACAGAAACGAGAGAGGTGAAAGGAATGCTAGGTCCATCTCTGCTTAGTATTGTAATTTGTCTTATATTTTGTGTAAATAGGTTTGATGGCTCAGGGATGGAATTAATAGAAGTGCCTGTCTGTGGAATTAAAATGTTTCTAGAGTGGCCTAGCCAGTTCTATAGCAGGGACATCCTTGCTCGGTAATAGTGACTTTTGTCCCATCTGAGCAGAAACTAAGAAATCAGGCCTCCGCTTTTAAATACAGTGGACGATTGGAGAAGGAGGTTATGGTCTTAACTTGTCTCCAAATGAAAATATTAGTCTGATGGTGTATAGTTCTGGGCTCCCAAATCTTTGTAACTGGCCTTAAAAACTGACTTGTTTAGTGCAGAATACCGTTTCACTGCCTGCCCTCTCCTTGCTTGTAGTCTGAGGGGATTTGGGAGCTTAATGGATATTTATGTTTGAAAATGTTTAAAATTAGTACCATCAGTAGTGCTCTCCAGTTTCCTTATCCTAGAAGTCCTAGATAAACCTTCAGACTTGCTAAAGATTATTTGATTTGGTATCTCTTTTTTCTCCCTGCTGCTTTCATTTATCTGTTAAACATTATCATTCAAACAAGCCTAGGATAGGAGTTTAGGGCTGGAAGGGACTAGAGTTATAAATGCTTTGCAGTTGACAGAAGTTGAAAAAAGAAGGAAAATAGGCTCTTTGAAACATTTTCTTGGAGGCAGGGAACCCAGCCTTATATTTATGCCCCGCAATGTAGTTCAAGTCCTAAAACATGTAAGAATCTTAATAAATATGTTGAGTGAAAGAATGAACAAGTACTGATAGGCTGATTTAGTCAAGGAGGAAATTTAAGTTTAATACCTTAAACTGCTGTTAAGTTTTTGTTATACTAATAAAATCTACTGAAATGCCAATATAGTTTCCTTCTTGGTTGAAAAAGTCTGACCGTAGATTATGAAGGGAGGAAAAAAAAGTAAAATTGTCACTATATTATCTTTCATAATTTGCAGCCCCCTATTAGTGAGGAATTTGGAAGAAAAAGACATTCATCTACTTCTGGTGAGGACAGTAGTCGTCATAGACTTCCATCTAATTCCTCTACAAAGCCACCAAATGCTGCTAAGCCTACATCTGCTAATCAGCTTCAGGGTCCCAATAAACTGTCCCAGAAGGAATACTTCACAGGAGTCCAGTGACAATTCACACCAGAACAGTGCTGCCTCAGTCTCAACAGATGGTGAAATGCCTGAGAAATAGACTCTTATGAAAGTTGTTTGCCCTTGAAATAGACATTTACTTCAGTATTTATTTGGGAAAAATCTTCTGATGTTTAATTGTGATAATCACAAAAAAGAACAAGGAAGAAAAGTGGTAGCATTTTTTTCTAACAAGATAAATTCTAAAAACATTTTCCCTGATGTTATGAGCAAGGATAGTTTTGGTGACCTTTTGTAGAAATCCTCTAGTAACGTATTTTGGTCTCAGTATTTCTTTTTCAAAGCAATTGTTTACAAGAACAGCATTCCTTAAATATATACAAAAGAATACAAGGAATGCCTAACATTTCAGCTCATACTTCTTAAAGAAGATATAGTATGTTGTATTCATCTCTTCTATAGAGCTTTCCTAAAGAATCCAATTACCCTGTTATCAATTCATATTTGAACTTATCAAAAACAAAGGAAGATTACGTATGTATTTTTTAAATTTAAAAAAAGAATATAAAATGATAATTTGCTTTTCTTTTAGACATATAGTTTAAGGAAACTTCTTTTTTTAACCAAAGTATGATTATATTGCAGTTAAATTGAAGTATAAAATATGTGCACTTTGGATGCTGGGTTTTGCTTTTTTTTCCTGTAGTCATACCTCATGATTTCCATAGTTATTGTTGTGCTGGTGTGGAGTGTTCTGAATTGGCATCAGCTGGTTACATATTAGAAGAGATTTACTTTTTGTGACTCTATAATAAACCTGCACAAGTAATTGAAAACTTGGTTGAGATTGGTTGGAATATTGTTCTAAATCAATTAAATCTTGCCCTGTTTTGAATGCATCTGTTTGTATATCTGCAGGTGGGTATGTCACAGGCAGTCAGATTATCTTCAGTTTAAAAGAAGTACTTAGTTTTTCCTTTTTGTTTCTTTTAGTTTTGTTTTATGCTCATGTTTTCAAGAGTTATAGCAAATTGATTTCTAAGTTTTATTGCTCTTGCAACTGATGTAAATGATAGTTTCAGTTTTTGTGGGTATTAAAAAAATAAAGCACTTATTCTAAATTATTGGAATTGATTTTTAATTATTTTGTTTAGAATTTAGTTGAAAAACTGTAATATCAAATTCTGCTAGTAGAAGACCATTATATTTTGTGAATGAAGTTTCAGTTATAAACTTAGCCATTTTTATTTACCACTTATATTTTCTTGGCAGAGCAGCTAGTTTAATACACTAAATTATTATTATTTTCTTTTTGATGTCTTGTTCTTATAGAGTGACAACATTGTAATACATATAATCTTTGGATAAGTTGGCTATTCATCAGGAACTAAGAGATTTTCATTAGTTATTATCCACGCATAAGTGATAATCTGCAGTTTTCTATTTAGTATTTGGGGGTCATTTTGATGTGTTAATTTTAGGAAACAGTCAAATTTGAATACTCAAATTTTACTTAGAGATGTTGGAAAGAGAATGCAAAACAACTAAGGGATTAGAATAATACATTTCTAAATGTTTTCTTAAGTGGATATGTAATTCTGGCTTTTCACTGAGAAATTTCCAGAGCATACTCATTAGCTTTAAGGGGGTCTCTTGAAATGATCTAAAAAATTTTCTCGGTATCCTTTTTGTATTGAACACATACATCTGAAACCTGTATTTAAGATTATTTCTACTCACCTAAATATGCAAGTGTAAATTTGATTGGAAAATTGTATATTTTATATAAAAATACAGTAATCAAGAGTTGTGATGTGTAATTAGAAATTTTATCATTATTTTGGTTATAAAAGTAATACATGTAATTGGGAAATTTAGAAAAGCACAAAGAAGAAAATAAAGTACCTTTTAAAAAAGAAAAAAACAAAATCGGTATCATGCTATACATCTGGTGTTATAACCTGCTTTTTCCACATCTTAGAGGTAAGCATTTATTGATGTCATTATTTCTACACCATGACTTTTACAAGTTACATAAAATTCCAGCGTATACTTCACGTTGCATCATATTTTACATTTATCTGATCTCCTGTTGTTGAACTTTTGCATGTGATGAGGTTTGAGCTGTTATAAACAACAACTTAATCACATCCCTACAGATGAATCTTTGTGTATATATCAAATTGGAGTTTCAGGGAAGTTCACATTTATGAAAGACTGACCTTAGTTCAGTAATGGTTTTTGTCATAAAAGGGAAAATCTTTGAATTTCTTTCAGTTATCAAAAACAGCTACTAAGATAGGTCTTACATAAAAGCAAAGTGGTGCAACGAGAACTTGAGGAAAGTGGGGGGGATACTTCTCTTTATGCCATTTCAGCTTATTAAAGGTTTCTTAAGAACATTCTACTTTCAGATAGCAGGGGAAACCTGTACTTCGAGTATAAATTCCCAGTAGTTGAAATTCTAGGTAAACATGTATTCCCATTTAACACACTCTAGAATGGTTGCACAGTTTATATTTCACCAACAGCATCTGCTTTCCTACATCCTCACCAACACTGGTTATTATAAATCTTTCTCTTTGATAGATTGAGAAACAAAATATTATTTTAATGAGTTTACTAATGAGTGGTAATTTTTATTCTTTATAAACTATATTATTTGTAGATAGCTTGATCATATCCCTTATGTCTTCCTTTTGTTATTATCTTTTTCTGATTGATTTATATAGCTTTTTTACTTATCAAGAACATTAACCTTTTGCTTTCTAATTTTGTTTCTGTAAGTTTGACATAGTATGTATATTTTTTGATAAATTTTTAAAAATTTACTTAAATTTTAAATGTAAAATTCGAGCAAATAAAAGCATTCTTCTTTAATGAAAATAAATCTAAATAGCCCTACCCAAAATTTATATAAGTCCCTAGAGACCTTAGATGCTTCCTTATGATTTTGCAGTTTTCCATTTTAAGTAAAACAAATTTATTTAAAAATTTTTTAAAATTTTAAAAACAAAATTATTTAAATCCAAACTACTTATTTTTTTAAGAAAGAGGTGAGGCCATATTTAGAATTCTTTATACTAAAAGTAACTATGAGGAATAAAGTTATGCTTTAAAATTGATATTTTAGTTTTAAAATAGATTTTATGTTTTAAACTTGTTTTGCCAGTTTGGGACTCCACGCTGACATTCTCTCCTTGACTTTCTCTGACATGCTTCTCCTTGCCATTATACTAAATGACGTTACCACTTTCCTTTCTGTGCTTAAATCTTGTCTTTCAATTAATTTTTTAGTTCTTACAAAACTGCTTGTTTTTATTCTTGCACAGGAGACTGATCCAATAGTGGGTAATACCTAATTATATCACCACTAGATGGCAGAATGGAATAAGTCAAATCTGTAGTCTTTTGACAGAATGTGTGTGTGTGTGTGTCTGTGTGTGTGTGTGTGTGTGTGTGTGTGTGTGTGTGTGTGTTGGAGAACTCTCCATCTTGTGGTGACATATAATTAAATCAATTACTCTTGCGTTCCTAATAGTCCTATGTGTCTCAACAACTCACGATTACCTTGTTAGGACAATGCCAAACTGTGCTTAGTTATTAGTAAATAAATATAGTAACAGCATTAAGATTTGTGTATGGTTAAAGATAAAAATACTATTGCTTTGGTTTTTTGTCCTTTAAAGTTTGAAGTACTTCATTAGCATTATTTGTGATTAACTCTCAAGATACAAACAAGCAAGAAAATTGTTAAGATATGTCTGTTTAAATGTCTGGCTAACTTAAGCTGTATAGTTAAATCACACAAGTGAATGGATCCTGCCTGAAACATGAGAAACTTAAAGTTAGATGTTACTTTTTTTTTTTTTTTAAAGATTTTATTTATTTAACAGCACAAGCAGAGGGAGAGAGAGAGGGGGAGAAGCAGGCTCCCTGCTGAGCAAGGAGCCCGATGTGGGACTCGATCCCAGGACCCTGGGATCATGACCCGGGCCGAAGGCAGCTGCTTAACTGACTGAGCCACCCAGGCATCCCAGATGTTACTTTTATAATTAGAGCAAATTGTTATCATACAGCTAGTTGAAAGGCAAAGCAAGAATTTGAATTCAAGTAGTTTGAGTTCTAGACCCCAAGCTCTTCATCTTAACCAGAGTGTTCTTTAACATCAGTCTGAAAGTGGACTCTGACTCTAAAAGTCAACTGCAATGATTCTTTACTATTATAAAATCAAGATTAGATTCTTCTGGTTAAGACTGTAAACTTTTTGTATCATGGACATCCTCTGCAGTAATGGATGGCCTAGTAGAATAAATATATGCATTGAGTGCTATATGGTAAATCCTCTTTGGGAGGAAAATCATGATTAGGGAACAGTATAATTTATGCATTTAAATGTTTTCCCAGAAAGAGGTACGGTAAAAAAAAACTAAACATTTTATCCAGAACATGATTATAAATTTTGTATTACCTTAGGGTTATTATTGTTAACTAACAATACTATAGTATTCATAAATAATGGTATGTTAGCCTCAAAAAAAGCTTGAAGGAAATATGCCACACAATTAACAGGAAACACCTCTGGCTTTATGCTTTACCAATTTTCTGAATTGTGTACAATGAGTCTTTTTTAAACTTGGCCAATTAAGACACGATTTGGTTAACAGAATGGTTTCTACCAATATACTATACATATTTGCTTCAGTAAAAAAGCAGAATGTGCTCTTTGTTCTAGTTTTGTTTTTTTCCAGGTAGTATTCCAGCTGTACAAAATTGAATACCTTTCTCAGAGTGGTTTTTTTTAAAGATTTTATTTATTCAAGATTTTATTTATTCGAGAGAGAGTGCATGCATGCCCAACACCCACAAGCAAGAGCAAGAGCATGAGCACGAGCGGGGGTGGAGGGGGAGTAGGGAGTGGGAGAGGGACAAGCAGGCTCCCCGCTCAGCAGGGAGCCAAGGGTGGGGCTCCATCCCAGGTCCCCTGAGATCATGACCTGAGCTGAAGCCAGATGCTTAACTGACTGAGCCTCCCAGGTGCCCCTCTCAGCATGTTTTAAGATACATTAGACTTTTGGGGCGCCTGGGTGGCTCAGTCGGTTAAGCATCCAACTTTTGATTTTGGCTTAGGTCATGATCTCAGCGTCTGAGATCGAGCCCCATGTTGGGCTCTGTGCTGGTCATGGAGCCTGCTTA